ATAATTTGTTTTTAGCGTCGTTTGCAAAATCAACTTTTGCTTTTGCTTCTCTTAAAATAATATGCTTTAAGCTATTTTTTTAAAAGCACCCCTAACCCTGCTTTTTCAATTTAGTTCATTTTCCGAAATATTTGCAAACACCCCCAACTTTTAGAAATAAGCACTTAAAACTAACTTAAATCACAATCACTAACTTCTGTTTTTAAATAATCATTTGCAAACACCACCTAAATAATACTTTCTTCCGGTCCTGACTCGGTGAAACGTGCTAAATTATTAACTCGATAATTTAATAATTCGCTAGATCCCGACTGTATTAATTTATAGAGATTTAACTGTGTATATATATTATCATAACAATTTAATAATAGTTATGCAACTATCAGAAAGCTGTACTTGTGAAACCAGACAATATCTGTGTTAACTCCGCCACCTTAAACTACTAATTTAAATTATTAATGGAAATTAAATTGTTTATTTTACCTTAGTAAATAAAATTAAGAAATGCGAATTTCCTTGGATTTTCCGACGGAGAAACAAGCGACAAAATATTATGATGATTGCGTTAACGGTTATTCTTGATGCTTCTGTTTTTGTTTTTTTTCCTTTTGCCCCCTAAGCTTTGGGTTAAATGTCAGAGCAGTTCGTTAATTTTGAAAAAAAGTTCAAGCTGGTCCTTGTTATAATGGTAAATACATTAACCACCTGAATCTTTTAAGTTTTTGCGGATCACCCCATGAACAATTCTTTTTTTCACAAGTTCACTTGTATTCAATTAATAGTGCCACTTTGCCCTTTTTTGTGCACGTTTTCAGGTCAAAATGACCGATTCTGAACACACATGCATTGCACTGCGAAATCCAAGACTATTGTTGTCTTTTCCTTTAAGAAACTCAAATTCCTTCAATTTTCCTTCCATTCAATTATATATATATATATATATATATATATATATATATATATATATATATATATATATATATATATATATATTACCAGTTCGATAATTGGCATATACCGAATTTTCATTCGATTCGGTTCGATCGGTTTACTGACTTGATGAACAGAGTAAATTTGATAAGGTTACGGTGAACATGTAAGAAAATACATAGTTATTAGGTGGCTGTAATTACGAAAAATAAGAACGATTTTTTCGTAATTTGATTACCTCAGCAATAAAATAAATATTATTACTAAAATCTATGCTATTTTAGTAATTAATAATATAGAAATGACATGCATAAGCTAGAATCTACGTGTTGGTTCAAGAGGCTTCGTTGGTAATGCTGTACCCTTAGCTTTGCGACACGTGGCCCTCCCTTTTCTGCATGTCCACTCCCACTTTTTCTCTCTCTCTCTCTCTCTGCACTAGATTTCCTATAAATTAAAAATTAACTTAATTCATCTTTCACATATCTAAAAGCAGAAGCTGAAGCTTAATTACAATCACTTTTTTGATCTTCTTTTTTTCTGATCGATTCTTGATAATTTACTGCTCATCAAACATAATTCTCAAAATGGCGTTCAGCAAAACGGTGCGTAGCCAGCTAATTTGGGTTTAATTAGCTAATTGTGTGCTTAATTATATATAATTAATAATGTTTGGTTGGAGTAATTATATATATTAATTTGCTATACAGGCATACTGGAAATCAATGGTTGAAAAGCTGGAAGCTGGGAATTATTCGAGCTTCACAACGTTAACTTCTCCGAAGATGAAACCCTACTCCCCCACGGCCGACAACTTTGTCCCCTCTCCAGGTGGCGGCGGCGGCATTAAATCCAAGTTGCCCAAGGGTGGGTTTGCTCCGGTGTTTGTGGCGGTGGGGATGATAGCTCTGTCCGCGAGTTTCGGGGTGTACACGGCGGTGCACCAGCTGCGGCGGAACCCTAGTGTTTCTGTCCGGAAGTCGAGGAGGGAGACCATCCCGGAGGTGGTGGAGCCGGAGCACGTGGCGGAGGAGGCTGAGAAGTTTGTGAAGCAGTCCTTTTTCAGGAAGGTGGCGCACGTGCAGGATTTCGACCGACAAGAGGTCATGTCTGATCCCATACGTGGCGATGTTTTCACCAGGTACAATATATACATACACTACACATACATATTCATATATAGATACATATACATATACGTATAAATTTATAAATTATGATTTTGCAGGCCTGTACGTGTGGAAACATTGAAAGACGTTGGAGTGGAACCCAAACCTAATTAATACTTTGTTTAATTTAATTAGTTTCTTAATTACACTGAAATTCGTCCCAGAAAAAAAAACTTGTTAGACGAAAAATAGTAACTTCCCTTTTAATAATGTGGTCTATTTATTTAAGTGATGATCTGATCTGCATTTGTGTTTGTATCTTTTTTTTTTTTTTTTTTGATCTAAAGTATCATTGTTTTATTTAGATATTATTAATATATTATTTCTGTAAGTTGATTATAAAAAAAGAGGATATACTACTAATATTATTAAGGTGAGAAGTTGAGTGAAATATATTAAAATATGGAGAGAAAAAAAAAAACCGGGTTAAATCGGTTGAACCGTGACTATCGGTTTTGTGTCCAGTCCGGTTCTGACTAGTAAGGTTTCTAACAGCCCTCAAGGGCTTCCAATATCCTTGCACTTCCACTCCGTGTATATTATATTGGGTTAATGGTACTTTGCCCCCACAAACTATCAGGTCACACCTTGAACAATCTTTTTTTTGAACTTGTTAAATTGTTGCACGGTGTAGATTTGCCATTTCCGTTCATTTCTCGTTTGCACGTGCGTAGCAGGTGAGTTTTCTCGAGGGTATAAACGTCCATTTTCTTTAATGTAACCCTACCCTTGGGCTTGTAATTTTTCCTCGTTTTTTTTAACTTCTCCTCTGCATTTACATCAACCCAACGTTACACGTAGCAGATGCCTCGTGAACATTGAAAAACACCAGAGAAAATCCCAAGAAAACGGCACAAATTCTTCATCCACATGCACGAAAACAGTCCATTTCATAATCGAGAGAACAGTCTCGAGACTTCAACGTACCAGACGCATCTTCGAAACGAGAAGCCGTCTCCAAATCCAGGCATTTGAAATTGGATTTAGGGTTTGTACTGGGTCAAATTGGAGTGAAATTCAGTTTGAAGAAGCGTTGATTGTGTGGACTATGAGAAATTCATAGCCGAGAGTGGGGAATTCGGAGATTTTGACGTTGTTTATGGACAGGGTTTCGGTGGCTTGGAGGGTGAGAAGAGATGGGAGGGTTAAGGATGCGGGGAAGAGGGGAGAAATAAGGGTGGGCAAAAGCCAAAAAAACGAGGGAAAAATAGAAGTAGAGGGGTAGGGTTACATTTGAAGTCAACGGACCTTTTTACCCTCAAAAAACACACATGCGACACATGTGCCGATGAATCCGGCAAGAAATTAACAGAAATAGTAAATTTGAGGCACCGTGCAACAGTTTAAGTTCCAAGTTCAGGTAAAAAAAATTGTCTAGGGGGTAATGTGCAAAATGCACGATAGTTTGGGGGGAAAAGTGCCATTAACCCTATTATACAAGTACATACATGATACATGTATTGTGTGTATATATGTATGTATGTGTACAAAAGTGTGTGCCTATTATACAAGTACACCCACAGACAAATTAAATATCATATATCAATTATTATTACATTACAAATATACCAGTCCTGAGATTTTATTTTGAAGTGTTAATTGGCATATCTGACACGATAATTTTGCGTTTTTACGGATCGGGTAGGGTTTTAAAACATAGTAGCTGCAGTTGAGACAATCACACACCGAGAGTAGAATGCTCTTGCATTAATTGAATATCGCCTAACGAAAAAATTGTTCTTACAACATGCCACGTCAGCGTATGCGGTTAATGAACTCGAATAATAATAAAATCACAAACCTCGTAGTTGTCTTGGAGGGATTGCCTTCGTAGGTGGGTTCGGGATCGAATCACCGGGCCCCAGGTCATCGATAGGCGGGCGCTGCTTGTGATTTTCCGTCACTGATTGATAAGCTATTGCCAATGCCAATGCCTGAATTTCACCCCCAACAAAATAAAAATTAAAAAGTAAAATAAACAAAAAACAAGTGAACTAATTAATTCGAGAGGATGAAAACGGAAAAAAAAATCTTACGATGTGATCTTGCTCGGGTGGAGCATAAATACCGGTTGTGACTGTAGTTTTTCTTCGAGTATTTTCTGTAGGGGGATCGGATATTTTCTTAAACCCCGTCGGCACAACAATTACGGGAATGCCCACGAGATTTCCAACACAAACCCGTTCCCAATCCGTTGCGTTTCCGATAAACGCATCGACTTTGAAACTTTCTCTCACTTCTCGTATTAGTTTTCCTCTTGCTCTTTGCGCCTGTGAAACAAATAACTCAATTTAACACGTGGGGAACTAAATGCAATAAAAGTCATAGAAGATAAGAAATCAAAGAGTTCGTATGGGATACATACTTGAACATAATCGACAGCTGGCACGACGCGGGCCCGCCTAAGTTCGAGAGGCCATTGGTCTTGAGCTTCGTACTCGTCCTCTAAACCAGAGCGTTGCCACTCGTCAAAGTGGGCCAGCATATCGACATCCATTGTGAAGTTCAAGATTCCTTGAGCAGAATCAACGGTGTAATTCAGCTCAAACGGAATCATATTGACACCTTTCGACTCGAGCTTTCGAACAACCTGCCATTTTTCGGACACTATTGTAGTTACTTCAAGAAAACTACAAAAACAAAACTAATGTCTTAGGTTTAAATTAATTACTTACATCCATGTCAGCATCGTCGAGGTACCCCACATTTAGCTTCATTATATCGACTGCAAATGGATCGGAAAACGGGATGTTTCTTGATGAAAGATCGTGTGGATCTTTGCCACGTATTATATCCAGTACGATCGCACAGTCTACTGCATTTCTACAGAAAGGTCCTAATTTATCCTGCGAAATAAGACACAGATTAAGAATTAACATCGAAGGAAAAATAAATATTTAAAAAAATTAAAATTTGTTTTTTCTTTACCAAACTCTCGGATAAGCTTAGAACACCCGTTCGGCCGACCGTTCCGAAAGTTGGACGCAATGCGGTCACACCACATCGAGAAGCGGGATATGTGATTGATCCAGCAGTTTCCGAACCAATAGAAAATGGAACCATACCTGCATAATTAAAATTAAAAACATGTGTCAAAATCGTAATTTTAATTTGAAGTAAAATCGGGAAGGGACTGTAAAATTGTAGGACTTTACGTTTCTTGAAAAATTAAATGGCACGCCTATTTTTATATTTCTCAATTAATTTCACTTGTTTTGAAGTTCAAATAATTGGGTCTAGTTCCACAAATTGAACCTAGGCCAATTTTCGATCGAAATTCAAATCGTTAAAATCCCAGTAAAATTAAATTGGGATTTTAAAATTTGTTTAACCCTAGGATTTTTAATTGGGATTTAACTACAATATCCGTTCTTCAAATGAATAAATTCATGCAAAAACAAAAAAAAGGAAAATCGACGAACCAGCTGAGGTGCAGGCAGCTGGTCCAGCCGATGAACCAGTGGAATATTCCTCGATATTCCAAGGATTCCTCGTTCTACCCCCAAACCAAATGTCGTCATACGCTAGTGAACCGGTCACAAGCTTCGCAACGAGAACAGCTCCAGCTGATTTTAACCTGAAAAAAAAATGATTATTTAATATCAATATACCTCCTATTTAATATTGCACATTATTATTATAATCGAATATAAATTACCTCTTATAAACCCAAGCTTCGATATCAAGAACTTGATTTTGAAACGTTTTAGAACCCCACGTTGTTTTGTAATCGGGTACCGCAATTATATCCTTCAAACCGTACGGAATTCCGTGAAGCGGACCTGAAAACGGAAGTCACACCAATTTCAATCATTCTATTTAAAGAAACGTGTTCGCTAATATTCTAGAGAAATATCCGAAGAAAAAGAGAAGTCGTGAACCTAAATATGTGCCTTGTGCGAATAATTCGTCGGCTTGTTTTGCTTGCTTGAATGCTAATTCCTCTGTTATAGTAACAACAGATTCCAGAACTGGACCATATCTACACCAATTCGACCGATGAATTAATACAAGGAAATAATTAAGGGTTTATTGCATTTAGTACCCCCTATGTTTTCTATAATTGCTAAAAGAATCCCCATGATATTTTATTAGCAAAACCCCCCCTACGATTCAATTTCTTTTCGCAAACTGCTCCCTATAAATTCACTATTTAGGGGGTTGTGTGCTTAAACAAATGCGTTATAAGGGGGTTTTGCAAATAAAATAAAACGTGGAGTTTTTTAGCAATTAGTGAAAACACAGGGGTACTAAATGCAATAAACTCGATAATTAAACACTCGTCGTTTCTTGGAGATACCTTTTCAATCTATTCAAAAAGACTCGAGTGAGCTCCTCGGATGTGATTTGCTTCGATTTAATCAATGCCCCCAATTCAAGAATCTGATCAAAACAAAAAAAAAAAACCGAAAATCTCGGAATTAGAAGATTCTCGACGAACGAGCAATTTTTCGGTTTATTTTCTCTAAAATCGTTAGGTTTTAACTTACACTCATAAATGCAATATCTTCGTCACTCTTAGGCCTTTTAACACCAGAAATAGAAGGGTAGTTAAATCTTTCAGGGGCATTTTGGGAATCACCATGACCCCATGCAGAATTGAAAACCAAAGATGACGGATTTTCTAACCCTCCATTAACCGAAGCAACTAATTTACGATTGGACCTAAAAATCGGAACATTGAGCTCTCGTGCACCCTTTTCAGTTTCCAACATCTACAGAAGAACATATAATATTGAGCTCCTTCATAAAAATAAATATTGTCGATTTATATTCAATATACGTACCTTTGCATCAGAAAAGAAGTCGGCATCGAACATTCTGAACCCACTACAAATCAAACCATGGTCGATTTTTTCCAAGCATTTGCTATGGTTCGTAGAATGCACTTCTCTACTGCCCTGGCCCACACACACGAAACATTTGTCAAGAAAGTGTACACCACAAAAGAATCAGACAAAAGATCAAGAAACAATTGATTTTACCGTAACTCTGAAGACACTCTCAGACATCAGCATTTTCGAGAAATTTTTATACACATCGACCCGCTTTAGAGTTTTTAGACCGTACATTTTACTATTAGTGTTAAATCAAGAGCAAATACGAGTGTACTCTCTCTCTCTCCGGGTTCGATAAGCTATTTTTAACTCCAAATTCCGAAGTACGCGGGTTGATTTCCCCCCACAAAAAAATGGCTCAATCTCTAATCCGACAAGGGTATCAAGAAACCGATTAACTATTTCTGTTTCAATTCGAACGACTGAAAAACAAAACGAAAAACAAACATTACTTCGACTACATATTCATCATCAATGCTTATTACACTACTTATAATCCGGAAACAATTGGAGCTATGATTAGCTATGTAGATGGAACAACAGGCCACAATCATTACAGTCTCTCTTAGACATTATGTCATACAGATTATACGCAGTATGAAATAATTGATCAATAATTACTGAAAGTAAGAACTGCCCACCCAAAAATAACAGTTCTTTTTTGTTCAAGAACAAACAAACAAACAAACAGTAATATAAACAAGAACCCATACAGTATATACACACATATATACAAAAAGGATGAAAGAAAATACCATAAAGGAAACAGAATTTATATCCGGAGCAAGAACCCAGTTCTGGGAATTCAACTGAGTTAAAGAAGAAGCGGCGCAGTTTAGCATGACGAGCAGTGATGCCTGTACGAGGTATAGATACAAGAAGACACGTGTCGTGCAAAGGGGCACTGTTCTTGGACACATGTCTGCAAACTGCGCTGCCACTTTGAAGCTTTGTTACTTCCGAAAACTGAAGCAGTTTAGAATGCTAAGAAGATTGATTAGATCTAATTTAGCTGCATTTTCTGGGAAAGTGAGACTAATTAACTTAACCGTCGTTTATTTTGAGTATATGGTAATTTGGGGGCCGCCGGCGCCGGTCAACTGGTGAGGTTTATCTCTTTTTTTTTTTCTTTTTTAATTGGGCAAATTAAAGGCCACACCTGATATATGGTCAAATAGCGAAAAAAAATCACTTGTTTTGGTATTTACAGTCAACCCTCATTTAAAATATTTTTAAAATAAAATTTATATAATTCGGTTATTTACCGAACTAAATCGTATATTTAGTTCGATAAACGGTAGGAAATGTTGGGGTACCGAAATTTCGCTTCAGTTTTACCGATTAACATCCCCAAATTTCCTCTAGAGGGGCATATAATACATAGTTGAGGGGTGACTGTAATCATCCAAACAGAAAGGGGGTTTTCGTAATTTGACTATAAGTCGGGTATGGCCGTAATTTGCCCATTTTAATTTGATGAAGTTTTTCGTGTTTCCTAGTTTATTTCAATTTATGGAGAATTATGTTTTTCGCCCCTCGTGTTTGACCCGATTCCATTTTCTGGTCCCCTTGTTCCAAAGTGAACAATTTCACCTTCAAGGTTCAATTTTAAACGTATTTGGTCCCCGACGTCACTTGTCCTTTAATATTTTACTAAAAACACTATTTTGACGCCAAAATTAAAAATTAAAATTGTTTTGGGACTGGAAAGTAATTAGAAATTTAAAGTATTATTTATAATTAATTTTTTTAATATTGTTTTTCTAATGTTGGTTGCTTTGTGAGTAAATACGGTTATTAAGCAACTCATTGTAAATTTTTTTCCTTATACTTTGTAGTTTGTAAGCACGAAATTAGGCTGGAGAGTAGAAGAGAATAACACGTCAATTTTGTTATTGATGCTACTTGTTAGGGGTGTGCACGGGTCGGTACGGCTCGGTTTTTCCAATAAACCAAACACGTACCGATAATATCGGTTTTTCCAATAAACCAAACACGTATCGATAATATCGGTTTTTCATACTTTAAAAATCGAATATGTCGGTTTTTTCGGTTCGGTGTTAATCATTTTTTCGGTTAATAGTTTCTGTATCAATTCGGTTTATTTTCGGTTTCATTTTCGTCTATTTGTTCGAATCGGTTCGGCATAAAACCGATATATTTGGACTTTTATTATATTTATTTGAGAAAATTAACAAATAACAACAAAAAATTAACTAATAAAAAACACGTCACAACCAAAATTAATTAATAGAAAAACATGTCACATGGAGGCGCTCGAAAGATAGAGGTATGCTAGGGTAAGTATTTATACTATATATCAAAAAGATATCATTTTGTATAAATCGGTTCGGTTCGGAAAATCGGTTCGATAATTTTTTTATTCTCCATACACAAACCGATATTTCCTGTTTTTTCAAATTCTTT